CTGACCAAGGGACCACTTAAAAGAGCTGGAGCAGCATCAACACTATTTAGTTTCTTCCATCACATCAACCCAGGGAAGGCTCACAACTGTTCTACCCAACACATCTCCCCCAGCAGCACTGCTATGATAGGGGCTGGGGTATTAACGAAGCCCCAAGATGCATAAGGAGGAAAATGGAATGATGAAATAAAAGCTTAAGTACGAGGGAATTCAAACAGGGCTTGCAACTCATTACTTGGAATACCAGGAGAATTGTAAAACACCTTGTAACCGAGAGGCTTTGCTTGGAGCTGTTAAGGACTGCAGCCCCCACTTCATCATGGGCTGACAAATTTTGAAGTCTTGGCAACAGGGGGGGACAAGCACCGAGCTTTCTGTCAGCTGACCTGAGGAGACAGCAATGCTTTGTTTTGCTTAACAGGACCTCTCTCTCTCTCTCGTTTCCTTGGGTTTCCAATAAAATACAGTAATGTACAGCATTCACCTCCATTGTTTGTCTCAAAGTATTGGCATTGACAAAGCCAGCAGTGCGGCCAGCTTGAGACATTTGACCTTCCACTTGTCTCTGAAGACAGAGGGGGCCAGAGCACGCATTGGAAGACCAGTCACTGATACTACGTTTGACTGGATTTATTAACACGGCGATAGGCAAGACCCTGTTTTATGGAACTTTCCTCAAAAATGCTAAATAAAGCGCAAAAAAAAAAAAATCCCGCTTGTTTAAGTTGTCTGTCAAGGAAAGGGAGGCCTATAGTACTACTGGGTATAATACTACTGCACGAAGCCCCAGAAACCCCACAGCCAGGCGGGAGGCGGCGCGGGGCTACAGCTGCTTCCCTCAGGGCCCCAGCTGAAACCGGATGGAACTGGCCAGAACTGGCTGGAACCAGCCACCCCCCCAGCCCAGTACTGCCAGCATCTCCCTGTCCGTCCCAGAGCCTGCCCCAAGTTCCCCAAGTGCTGTAGGGGACGCCTGCTTGGGAGCGTACTTGTTTTTACGGGGGCGAGGGCCATTCTCTCCACAAGTGTTTCTAATCTATGCAAAAAAACAGGCTTGTCCCGCAGGACTTAGCGAAGTGTAACCATTTCTTTTTGCTCTAAACAGACCGATATACAGCATACTGAACTATACTACAAATATATTAAGCATAAACTCTATTTTATGTCTTTCACATCACCTCATGAGGAGACATGCCCTAAATACCAAACCATAATCCTCACAGTTGTATCAGGTAACGTTTCCCTAAAACGTTCCTGACGGCGGCCTGGCCGTGCTCCTGCGGCCCGTTCTGAGGCGGCTGGCCGGGACAGAGCGGCCCAGCCTGGCTCGGTTCG